CCCCAAAACCCCAAAACCCCAAAACCCCAAAACCCCAAAACCCCAAAACCCCAAAACCCCAAAAGAGGTTATAATTTTTGAATTTGAGGATTTAATTAAAAATGTCCATATATTCCGGCTTCGCACTTAGAAAACACGAAACTTATTACAACAAGCTCCTCTTCAGAGTCATTGAAATTCTTAGTGAAAAATGTCTCAAAGCAGTGAAATAAAGAATTCAAAGAACGTAATTTCTACTTAAGCTTTAGAAAAAGAAAACTCCAAAAATGAAGAATTCAGCCTCATGGAAGAAAATGGTACATTCCGCTGTGTGACCTATAGACCAGCTAGAAAATTGGAGTAGAGGTATATTCAAGGCCTACAGGGTTCTCAACTCAATGGAAAAATTTAAGCATTTGGATCCTAACTTCTCAGATGCTTTCGAGAAGCTTTTTACATTTGTTTGAAAATAAATACAAGAACCTATACTCTTCAGTAAATAAAACTATAACAATGGACGCTCTTGGTCAGAATACTGGTAAGCACCCATACTATCTTTAGACTTAATCTCAGAGCCTGAAAAGAGAGATCCAAATGTTTTGTCAAGATCAGATGCTTTCCTCAAGATTCATAAGAGAAATTTGGATTCCGAATTCATTCAGAACCCAGTAGATTCCTCTCTCCATCTGATCAAAGAGAACCGTGAGTACCGTTCAAAGACTCAACAGAGAGTGAGACCCACTAAGAAATCTAAGAAAAGTACAGATCATCCGTTTAAGCCCTATGAGATGGATAGTACGAGATTATTTGTAATTATAGCATATGCGAATCATTTCCCTAATTCTAAAAGTCTCCATCAACCTAAGAAGTCCAAGAACGGAAAGAGTAACATCAATCTTTCTCATGTGTAGATATTGATTCTAACATCAAAATAAAGAATAGGATTGGAGGCTTTAAGAGCGATAAACCTGAATTTAGCCTAAAATAATGACAATTCTCACCCTAAAATAGAAAATTCTGATCTTTTACAGTATAAATTCTAGTTATTTCATAGTGAAACTAGAACCAGGGAGATGAACGAACTGATGCCTAGTGACAACAACAGCCTCTCGATGATCAACTATAACCTAGATAAGATGAATGACACTGATGGATGAATAGAAAATTACTCCCATGAGAAAAATGGACTTCAAACTCTAGGCCACACATACCATAATGATAGTACAATTTCAAAAAGTGAGAGCATGAACTTTACAAGTCTTGGCAAGTAGGTAGCTTAATGAACACTTTAGCCCCAACATGAGCAATAACTTCCACAAATAAGTTCATACTAGACATGAGTGCTAATACTCCTGAGACTGACCACCCTGATTTGAAACTTCTTCGGCCTCGTGCTATAAAGAAGATCCTACTTGAGTAAATATTTGGCATAATCTTTCAGGCCCAGAAGAGGATCTAGAAGAAGAAAACTCAAAATTAAGAGCAAGATTATTAAGTAAATCAGTTGAAATGAGCTAGGTTTAGGTCAAAAAGAACAAGAAGATTAAAAGCAAACCCGAAAAGGCAATTCAGTTCAGTCCAGCCTTACCGAGAAGATCACAGAGATAGCTACAAGCTTGGCTATAGCAAATTTAGTAGAAGCAAGTCCCTTTGGTTAATTGGTTCTAGAGTTCTTGTAGAAATTATGAGGAATATCAGAGTCATAGAAATCTTCAGTACCCAAAAAGTTGTTCAATTAATAAACAATTCTTTGGGGTTTTGGGGTTTTGGGGTTTTGGGGTTTTGGGGTTTTGGGG